AAATGCCAAATAGCAGAGTAGGATGGCTCTCTCCTTTTTATCTTAAACTTCTTTTCATTTTTCTTTTATGTCGTTGTTGTTTTATAACTCTAACCCCTTCCACTGTCTTATATTAACATGGCCTAAAATAAGTAAAGTAAGTGGGGATTTTATTAAGCTGAATGAAGTTATTAGAGGGATGACAAGAATAATAACACAATTTATGAGTCATTAGGACTCTGGGAATATATCGTAAGCATAGAAATGTTAGATGAAAAAGATTAAAGAAATTGTGAATTTTAACTTTGAGGCTTCATAGTGTACAAATGTATCATAAAGGCCTAAGTTGATGAAAGCATAGAATTGCTATTTATAAAGAGTAGCCCTATCTCTACTAAAAATACAAAAAATTAGCTGGGTGTGGTGGTGCATGCCTGTAATCCCAGCTACTCAGGAGGCTGAGGCAGGAGAATCACTTGAACTTGGGATGTGGAGGTTGTGGTGAGCCAAAATCCCGCCGTTGTACTCCAGCCTGGGCAACAAGAGCAAAACTCCATCTCAAAAAAAAAAAAAAAAAAAAAAAAAAAAAAAAAAAAGAGTGGAAGAGCTATGAGAGTCAGTAGCTTGCCATTGACCATATTAATTTTGAAATGACTATAGACATTAAATTAGATGTGAAGGAAAAAGCTGCAGGGCTGTAGACTGACATTCTAATTTTGACATTTTCGAGATTTAGATGATGTTTAATTCCACAAGGTTGAATAAAAACAGTTTGGAAATTATTATATGTAGAAATGAGAAGAAAGTTAAGGTCAGTACCCTGGGACATTCTATTATTGAGAAATGAGCATGCACCTGCAGAAACGGAGCCAGTAATGTACGAGAGAAATCAGGAAGTGAGGTATCCTGGAATCCAAACAAGAAAATATACTAAGAGAAAAATCAATAGATACCTGCTACTAGGAATCACATTTTTTTTTTTTGTAATTTCTTAGCATGTTTTGCTCTCTTCATTCAGAAAAAGTGGTAGTAGTGGTATTATCTTTCCAGCTTTAAGAAACCTTTAAGGCTGGCACAGTGACTCATGCCTATAATCGCAACACTTTAGGAGGCTTGGGCAAGAGGATCACTTGAACCCAAGATCAAAACAGATTTGGCCAATATAACAAGACCTTGTCTCTGGGAAAATTTTTTTTTTTTTTTTTTTTTTTGAGACTTGAGTCTTGCTCTTTTGCTAGGCTGGAGTGCAGTGGCGCAATCTATCTCAGCTCACTGCAGCCTCTGCCTCCCAGGTTCAAGGGATTCTCCTGCCTTAGCTTCCCAAGGAGCTGGGACTGCAGGCACATGTCAGCATATCCAGCTAATTTTTGTATTTTTAGCAGAGACAGGGTTTCAACATGTTGGCCAGAATGGTCTCAATCTCTTGACCTTGTGATCTGCCTGCCTCGGCCTCCCAAAGTGCTGGGATTACAGACATGAGCCACGGGGGGCCTGGCGACATTTTTGTTTTTGAAAAAATAGCCAATGTGATAGCATGCATCTGTAGTCCCAGCTACTTGAAAGGCTGAGGCAGGAGGATTGCTTGAGCCCAGGACATTGAGACTGTATTGAGCCATAATCATGCCACTGTTCTTTAGCCTAGGTTGCTGAGTGAGACACTGTACCAAAAAGCCAAAGAAAACAAAACTCACATCAACAACAAAAAGCATTCAACATTCAAATAGGTTTAAATTAAAAATCTCCTGTCACTTTGTAAAACATCAAGTTCTCTTTACTTCTTCCCTCACTGCCTACTTAATGTCTATACCTCCTTCCTTTATTCCATCAATGAATTTAAATAACTATCTATGGAATTTGACTGATGCAATTTTATGTCTACTAATGGTTAATAACATTATTTAAGTAGAAAGGTAAATCTTGTTATTTAAATCACATTATTTTTTGTTATCCTTAAGCATTTTCAAAATTCAATTAATTATACTAATGTTTGCTATTTCTACTTTACACCTAGATGAATATTTGTTTTTTGTTTATTGAGAAATTACCTCTGATAAGTGGTAGTTATCAAAATGCATACAACCATCCTTGTACTTACATAGCAATATATGACATAATTTCATAATTTTTTCTATTTGTAGTTCTCTAGTGTTTAATTATCGCTTCAAAATTCAAAGTATTGCCCTTTTGTGGATAGTGGTTATGAAGACTGAAACTGCCTTTTATAAAACCTGCAGCCTTTTACCTTAATAAATTTTAATTCATTATTCAGGTTTTGTTGCAGGTGAAAAGGTGTTCAATTAGATCATAGCATAAATCTTTCTGCTGTTGCACATTTAGTGACATTATTAAAGGGTTGAAATATAGTTAAATAATGAATCTTGGTTAAATACTATACTACTACATCATAGTGGTTAATCATGAATAACACATTTTTAAAGCAAACAATATATTTCTTAACCGATTTAATTGATAGATAAAATTGTATGTATTTACTTTTTATGATATGTTTTCAAATATATATACACTGTGCAATGACTACATTTTAATACTAGTTTAGGTTCATCACACAACAAATTTCCAGTGCAGTCTGTGGGAAATTGTATGCATTAAACTAATAGAAGCTATTCTTTTCTTATTTATTCTAGCTAATGTTGAGGCAGTTGAGAGCAGTTAAAAAATCTTGTTTATTTTTGGTATTATGTAGAACTCTTCTATAGAAGGGTACTGTTGAAATATCAATATAGAAAAACAGTTTTATAAAAATTAGGATTTACGATAAGTGAAATACCACAGACAGTTGGTACTTATTCTAAGATATGACTTTTATCCTACTTTCCAATCTTTAAAACATAAATTATTTATTTAATTGAAATCCTGTACTTTGTATTTAAGAGATAATTTATAACTCCCCAAATCTAGGGTAACAGAAATGTGTAAAAAGTAAGCTTTTAAGTAATAATTGGTTTTTGGAACTATATTGATAAAATGTGTGCATAATCACATGAAATTAATTTTTACATAATCATAGATATACTGAAATCATAAAAGATAATATTTCATTCATCTTTTATCTCCAGACCTGAAGGCATAGAATGCTCTAAGTGTTAATTTATAAATCTTCTACGATTTCTGCTGTATTTTATGAAATGTGTAATCATGACTCAGACATCATAAGCCACCCACTGTATTACTAAATCGACACAAAGCACAGTGTGAAATGCCTTCCTAAAAATGAGACTAATTGAAGGTTCAGCAGTATTCACGAATGTACAGAACCCCAAGGAGAAAATATAGCTATTTCTGATCTTTGTTACTACATCCAGAGCTAATGTCCAGTCAGGAGGTCACTGCAAAAATTTTCCTTCTATTGTGGTTATTGTTGATTAAACCAACTGAGAAAATTTTATTTAGTCCTTGCAGTATCCATTTTTATAGCTTTTGTTATTAAAGAATATTAAAAATGATTTATATCAAAAATTTTCAAATTTCATTCTGTGGAAACTTGGAGTTGTACAGAATTGTCCCAAATGCTACCAAGGGGCCACAGTGGGCTTGGGGTTAAGGATAGGGGTGGTGATGACAAAAATTTATAAGATCCCATCACACCTCATCTGTAATTTGTCTGGAAAGCTTTTGCTGCTGTGCTTTACATACTGCTATTAAGCTTAAATTCTGTTGTGAAAAATTGGTGAATATACTGCTTATTGTTTTTATGTTTTGAATATAGTCCTATTTATTTTCTCCTTTAAGATAGACATATACTAATCCCCAAAGTGATATAAAAATTGACTTGTATGCATTTCTTAATTTTTTTTATGTAGAGATTTCTATTTATCTATGAAAATAAACTATTTTCAAAATTTAATTTACGTACTCTAGATTTTTATAAATATGTATCTCCTTTTTCAGGATGTTACTTAATATAGATCAGTTTAGAACCATTGTAAACTAACATTTTTGTCTAATTAACTTATTCAATAGATCACCAACAAACTTTGGTTGTAAGAAATAAACCATAGTTTTGTTTTTCATAAATCAAATGCATCTGTCAATTTTATATTCTATATATTTAGGTGTTTGAAACAAAATATATGTATTTCTATCTATTTCTGTACATATTTCCTGATATGCACATGAGAGAAATGAATAAGACATGATCTCTAACTTTGACTTCAAATCACAATGGAAATGACACAAATAGTTAACATATGTAACATCTTTCATAATTTGGATGTTATGTCACATCATCATAAAATTAATTTATTTCTCCTTTTACAAAGCATAAATGCAAAGGTGGGAGAATCACTTGAGACCAGAAATTTGAGGCAAGCATGGGCAACATGGCAAAATCCCGCCTGTATAAAAAATACAAAAATTACCTGAGTATGATGGCACATACCTGAGGTCCCAGCTACTTGGGAGGCTGAGGTAGGAGGATTGCTTGAGCCCAGCTGGCTGAGGCTGCAATAAGCTGTGATCGTGCCATTGTACTCCAGTCTGGGCAACAGGGCAAGACCCTGTCTCAAAAAATAAATGAATGAATAAAAATAACAATTCTAACAAATCAAAAGTAACTTTCAGTCTATGTAATTGTCCTTAGTTGTCTTGCATATGTGGACCATATCATAAAACACCATGTATTTAAAGTGTCGTTTATAAAGGAGAATTTATGCAGTGCTTCCTTGTTAGGACTCTGGTAAAATGGCAGACTCTGGTCATACAAAATATGCAGGTGGAAGTGATTTTTCATTTCCTGAGTAAAGAATATCACCTGGAGCATAGATACATATTCTGAGAGTTAGTTAAGTTTTAAATTAGACTTGTTTTATACTTCCAAACTTATATTTAAGATCCTTGCAATCTTTTACTCACTTGCTTTTGAGAATTTGCAAGAATTTATTTTAAGCATAAGAAATATTAATGTAATCATAATCTGTAATAAAATGAGTTGTTCTGATGTTTTGCACTTGAGTAACGACTTTGCTTTTGATACGGTATTCATCAGTAATTCTATTCTATAGGAGAATGGAAACATCAATCCCTAGAAACAGTTGAAGTTGTCAGACCTAGAGATTGACAGAGGAACACGGCACTGGGGTGAGTAAAGTTGTATCCTCCTTTAGAGTTTTATTCCTTCTCCTTTAAAGAATAACAGTAGATTACATCTATATTTCACAGTAAGTTCAAGAACCGTGTAAGGTGTTAAATTTCCAGGCATTGCTCAATGTCTTTAAGCAGATATATGTTATGTGGGATTCAAATAAGCCAGAAGGAGAGAAAAGAGTTAATCAAATAGTTAATAAAAGTCTTTCTCCAGAGAAGTGAAATACCTGTTGTTTCTCTTTTAATACATTTAAAACAAGCAAACCTCTACCCAGTTTAGATTTATTATTCTTCATTGATTGTTTCTTTCTCTTGGAGGACATTCTGACAGTAAAGTAGTAGACACATTGCATCCATCATTGTGTTTCAAAGGGCCATCAGGTCGATGGCTCTTTTTGAACTTTGTTGTTTCAGAAAACCATAGCTGAGTATTATAGGCAGAAGTTTGACATTTTCAGGATGAAAATCAATTTTCTTTTATGTGTTTCTGAAGGAAGGCTTGTGTTTTAATTGCAGAAGAAATAGCTTTTACAACATTGGAATAACAAAATGGAAATTAAAATAAAATTTGAGTAACAATAGCTTCAATGAAAGTGAGGGGAATTGTATTTTAGTGGTATTATAATATTTTAAATCCATTGAAATGGAATTTGAAATACAAATTTATGGAAGAAGGTATAGAAATAGAATAATGTCTACCAAATCAAGGTAGTAATGAATAAAATTTATAAATAAAAATCTCAGAACTGGAACATAATGTTTAAAGAAATCAAATATCCTTAAGGAATAAATATATAACTGTAATTTATAATTTATGATATATATATATGTTGTGTGTATATAAACACATGATTGCTTATCATACTTGCTTAATTCATCTCTTGCTCCTGTCTCCAGAAAAATGAAAATACCATCTCTTTTGTCAATGTGTATATGAATAGCATTTATCATAAAGCTATGGCAAAGTAGGCATTTGATAGTATTTGCTGCTGAATATGTTAAAATACTAAAAATACAAATACTTTTATAATTTTATGGTTTTTAATGTATAAAATGCTGGTTTGTGGGGGGATTTAGTCGAGTTTTTTTAAAATAAAGATATGAAAAAACTTTCAGTAATAAGAAATTATATTTTAAATAATATGCCGATGTTTTAAAAGTGCAATAGGTAGTTTTCTGTGTATGTGAGACATGTCTGTGTAAGTACATTTGAAAGGATTTGAGGCTAAGGCTAAGGCTTCATATTTTCAACCATAAATTTATTCCTCATATAAGCATATTTAAATTCCTATGTAACAATATATTTCAGATATAATTTTTCGTGCAAAAAAATCACATGAAATTGTTTAAAAATTACAATTTAATTTTTCGATGAGTATACAAAATCATGAAAAGAATACCCGAAAAGAGAAAATGTTCAAGTCCCCAAGATCCTTGCTCTTTACAGTTCAGGTGAGTTTATCATAAACTTTCTTTCAGGCCATTCAAATAAAAATGCAGCATAAACAGCTTATTATTTAATAATAATTAATAGTATACAGGTTCATATGTTTTCATATGCACAAATAGATAGATGATAGATAGATAGCAAGATAGATAATTATAGCCCAGTATTGAAATTTCCAATACACTCTTCACATGTGACAGTTCTCAATTCTCTACCCTTTTGTATAATAAATTCCTTTAAGAATTAGAGTAAGTCTTCTACATGTACACCTTTTCAATCCCCTTGTATGTTAAGAATGTGTACAAATGATGACTAATAAAGATAAGACCATTTTAATTCAATTTCATCAGAGGTATAAAATGGTAGTCATGGAAAACATAAGACATATTTAGTTTTTCCTTTTTGAGATTTTGTGGATTTCTATTTTTGTCCTGACATTAGTATAAAGAAAATCTGTTTCTCTTCTTGGACAATTAAAATACTGTTGTTATGTAATAAATCAACCAGCACACAAATTATGAAAATTATGATAAAAACTTTGGTAATTTTGCAGAATTCTCCTCAATATGCATTTCAATTACTTAACGTTTCTAAGATGTTCCTTTTTTCACTCTGATTGTATTACTTAAATATTTATCTTATAATGTTTTGTATATCTTATATATCTGTTTCAAATAATTATTACATTAAACAAATATATTTAACAGAGAAATTATTCAAAATAATATTTTACATGGATAGGTATTATTAATGATGTTCTCAATTGTATAACAGATCAAGGAAACAAAATATTGACCAAAAAGAATAGTAAAAAAAAATCAATAAATTTTATGTTGAATAGGTGAAACCCTGTTATACCACTGGCTGACAAAATATGAGATAAAGTTTCTTTAGCATCTGTATTTAAGTACTCCGACTTTACTTGTCAGATTTTTTTCTCATGTAAAAGCTTCAGTTGCGTAATACCAAACTGAGGAACTGAGACTCAAACTCTGGTCTGACTCCGCAGCCATAGTAGGCTCTACTGCCTCATGCTGCCTCTCCACTGACAACAGGAAGGCATCTGGTCTGGGTTATGTTACTGGAAAGGAGTCCCAATCCAGACCCCAAGAAAGGGTTTTTGAGCCTTGAAAGAATTTATTTATTGAGAAAGAAAAGGAGTAAAGAATTGCTACTCCCTAGGCAGAACAGTAGCAGGGGCTGCTTAACTGAATATACTTACAGTTATTTCTTGATCATGTGCTGAACAAGGGGTAGATTATTTGTGAGTGTTCCAGGAAAGGGGTGGGCAATTCCTGGAATGGAGGGTTCCTCCCTGTTGTTTTAGACCATATAGGGCAACTTCCAGATGTTGCTAGGGCATTTGTAAACTGTCATGGCTCTGATGAGAGTGTCTTTTAGCATGTGAATGCATTATAATTAGTATATAATGAGTACTGAGGATGACCAGAGGTTACTTTCATCACCATCTTTATTTTGGCAGGTTTTGGCAGCTTCTTTAACTTAATCTGTTTTATCAGCAGGGTTTTTGTGACCTATATTTTGAGCTAACATCCTATTGCATGCTGTGATTAAGGATATCTAACCTCCTAGGTATGCAGCCCAGTAGGTCTCAGCCTTATTTTATCCAGCCCCTCTTCAAGTTGGAGTCTCTTTGGTTCTAACGCCTCTGATAGAATCAATAACTTTCGTGATTTATAAATCTGAGGCTATGAATCTTTATATATTGAATATAACGTTGTGAGATAGTCCTAAATAGTCTCTTTGGAGTATACATTCATCAGCATAGTTACAATTCTTTATGTACCTATCTAACCGCCCAATGGGTTCATCTTGCCTTGATAGACCTGATTTATCAAGATAGGGGAATTGCAATAGACAGAGTTTAATACATGTAGAGTTGGCTAAATGAGAGACCCGCATCTCAGATTATTACTACTCAGATCAGCCTTCCCAGAATGTGGAGGCTAGGTTTTTTCAAGGACAGTTTGGCAGGCAGAGGGCTAGGAAAATTGCTCATTGGTTGACAGGGTGTGGGAAATGGTCCTCTTGGTCTGAGTCTGCTTTTGAGTTGGAGCATCAGAGTAGAGTAGTCGCTGGCCTAGGTGGAGTTATCTGGTTATCAGAAATGCAAAAGTCTTAAAAAGCAAATCTTAGGTTCTAAAATAGTAATGTTAATTTCAAAAATAATTAGGGAAGTAGCAGATCTTATAACTTCTGGAACAATGGTAATTATTTAACTAAGACTAAGTTGTGTAATGCTAAGCAGAGGGACTGATAGTCAAACCCTGGGTAGATTATTCCTGAGTGTTCCAGGAAAGGGATGGGTAATTCCTGGAATGGAGGGTTCCTCCCTGCTGTTTTAGACCATCTAGGGTAACTTCCCGATATTATTATGCTGCACCTCCATTGACAATAGGAAGACATCTGGTCTGGGGTTATGTTACCAGAAAGGGGTCTGAATCCAGACCCCAAGACAGGGGTCTTAGCAGAATTCAGACATCTCTCAGCCTCCTAATCTTATGGGCTTCCATTAGCTTTACAAAGGCAATTTAGTTTCTGAGAAGGGCTATTATCATGTAAACTATAAACTAAATTTCTCCCAAAGTTAGCTTGGCCCATGTCCAGGAATGACTAAGGACAATCTAGAGGTTAAAGACAAGATGGCTTGGTTTGGTGAAATCTCTTTCAATGTCATAAATTTTTCCCTGTTACTGTTTTTACAAAGGCAGCTCCACTACTGTTTAGTTAAATGAATTTGATAGCTAAATAATTTGTGCACACTTCTAAAACTTCTGGAAAAAATACATTTTGATTTAGTATGTCTTTACATCAACTTGTATTTATCCAAGTTAAAGAAGCATAGTTGTTTTAGAAGAGATATAAATAAGGCCAACCATAGTTTCTAAGGGAAAACACTGAAATTAAAGAAAACATTAATTTAAGAACTATAAGAAAATACAGAAAGTTAGTTCTACATCTAACAGAGTTTATAATCTGTGTAATCTATTCACATTAATACATCTAAAGTCTGGTATTCCTGACTCCATTTAAATTAGATTAAATAATTTAAGTCCAACATCATAGATTCTCCCTCAAGCACATTTGCTGCTGTTTTGATGTTAATTATCCACATCATTCAGATAGTTACCACCTAACTTGTTTATAGTACAAGGTATGCTGTAACTTTTTATCTCAAGGAAGCTTAAGTATTCATTTTATCATGAGCAAGAGCATTTTTCTTGTTTTTTTTTTTTTTTTTTAGATGGAGTTTCATTCTTGTTGCCCAGGCTGGAGTGCAATGGTGCAATTTCTGCTCACTGCAACTTCCGCCTCCCGGGTTCAAGCGATTCTCCTGCCTCGCCCTCCCAGGTAGCTGGGATTGCAGGTATGCATGAGCATGCCCAGCTAATTTTGCATTTTTAGTAGAGATGGGGTTTCTCCATGTTGGTCAGGCTGGTTTCAAGCTCCCGACCTCAGGTGATCTGCCCACCTCGGCATCCCAAAGTGTTCGGATTACAGGCGTGAGCCACTGCGTCCGTCCACA